ATTTCATCCATTTAGCCAAAAAATATTTGCAATGTTTCGCCCGACTTCTCTTCGATGTTCAGTCGCTTTGCTTCTCCTCCGTCTTTCTTCTCCTTCCCGCTCTGCAGCAGCAGCAGCTGCTCAGGCTTTCTGCAGAAACTCAAATTCCCCCCTCGCCTCAGCCTTCTTTCCCTTAACCGTCTGTCGATCCAGGCTCCCGCTTTTTAAAACCATGGACAAGCGGGAACCTGCTTTTCCCCCCTCCCCTCAACATCCAAAACTCCACTGGGGACAGATTTCCGTGTTGCACTTTAAATTATTGATGAAGCGTCCCCTGCCTCTTCTCTTCTTCCTCCCCCCCCTGAGGCTTTAAGTTGAGGGACTTGGAGAGAAAACCCAAATCTCCAAGGATGCCTTGTTCATCTGAACACACCGCAGAGTCACTGCAGACACCAGACTGCCGGGCTCTGCAAGACAACAACAAGCACAAACACACACACACACACACACACAAACATAAACCCATACACCACATTACATTTGGGCTTAGAGACGACAAACTTTAAACATCTCGTTACTTAATATCCCTGTGAAAATACGGAAACGAGGAGAAGAAGTAGGATGAGGGCAGGATGAGTCCTAGTCTTGGCCTCCGGAAAGAAATGACTTGCAGACGTTTTAGTAAATTAAATCATTTTTAGACGTTTCTTGGTTGTTGCACTCCTTTATGGTTCCAGCTCTGCTCATAAGTATTTTACTGGAGCCAGAGCAGAAGGTCTTCATCTGGCCCTATCAGAGTTTATTATCCAGCCGAGCTGCTGTGGGTTATTTTACCAACGTGATAAATGTTTAAATATGCAGTCAACATGTTTTCATAAAAAAAAAAGACATTAATAAGTAAAAATGCAGGAATATAAATATGACACCTGAGCTGAGGCTGAGCTTTCTCTTCTGCTGTCCATTATTTCTTATTTACTGGCGATTTTTTTTATTTTTTTATTTTATCTATTTTTATTCACGCCGAGCAAATTCGAAGCTCTCTTGGTTTTGATCCAGAGTTGAAGTCTCCGTTCCATCTCTGTTCAAATGTTATTCTTTTCAAGGATCAGCGATGATTTTAAGCATTTAATGCTGGATATTAAAAAAAAGAAAGAAAACAAATTAGGTTGTTTTTTTTTTTTGCTCTCTTCAGCAACAAAAAAACTAGATTATCGCGCAGCATAACTTCATTTCTCTATCAGGTTCGTGATTAGCTGTAAGCTCAAGTCTGAATGGCAAAACTGAAACTAGTGCACCCATTTTTTTTATCCATTGAGATAAAAAAAAAAACATTCAAAGATGACAGCGCCAAGAGTTCTGAATACAAATGTGAGCAGAACATGTGAAATGAAACAAATTGTTAGTATATATAGAAAGAAAAGTTACTGAAATTGGTAAGACGAATAAATCTAAACACTGTCAAGCTAAATTGAAAATAGCTTGCTAAGAAATGCATAAATTGAGTTCAAATTTGAGAACATTTGCAATCATCAACAATATTAGTGAAGCAGTGTAGTTTCCTCTGTTGCATTTAAACATTTTCCCCAGTCCTGCTGCCTGACGCCCTTTTATATTTGAACCCTTTCTTTGGAAACTGTCTCCTACGTCTTTTTACTCTCTGAAAATCTGCTCGGACGTTGTGCTCCTAGGAAAGTTCGTTCTCTGAAACTCTTTCCCTATCTCACCTAAAAAAAAAAAAAAAAAAAACTTCTTGGATTCACGTTTTGTCGAGCTTCAGGTATTAAGGTGTGCATTCTTCAGTGTAGGCCAGGGTTGAGCACATGCTGCACTGTCCACCTACACATACATCATCTTCTGAAGCGATGGATCATCCCTTCAAATCACCGAAGTCGGGGGTTCTACTCCAACAGGCAAGTCGAGTGAATATGTTTGGCGATATTGGTGTGTACTTGACTCTAAATGCATACAAGTAATGTACATGATTATTTTCGGTCTGTTACTGTTTAAAGTATTGATTCAAGGTAACTATTGGTCACTGCAGTTATTTTGGCTCTCAGAGATATTTTGGGATCAAAATAATTTAAATCAGTGGCAACAATACAAGTAAAATCCAATAGAGTATCACAAAACGGACTTTGTTGGTATGCTCTTCCTTCCTTCTAACAGAATCTTCTTCTGTTCTCCTAAAGGCCTCGTGGACTACAAACTGATCAGCCTTTAGGTGAGATCTTTGCGTTTTTTTTTGTTGTTTTTTTTTTTAAAGATCTGAAGCATGCAGGAGGAACGAGTTCAATACAAGCAGTAATCAGACATCCCGGAAGGTACCCAGTATCAAGCTGCACACAAATAAGGCTCTGCGGTTCTTCAATCCATACCAGCTTGCAGGCTGTTCTCTCAGTCCATTAAACACATTCAGCTCTCCTACATGGCGCCTGGAGGTACAGGAGAAGTCACATCGGCGCTCCCATCAATCGCACCGAGAGCTTCCCAACAGGAAGATAATGAATTCAGCCAACTTGGCCGCTTACCAGCGTTTGGCTCCTAAAGGTTTCAAATCACAGGATTCCTACGACTTCTACCGAGTGATGTGAAAGGGTGAAAATGTTGGGAAATCCTGCAGGAAAATAAAGTGGAAAGCATCGAGCTAGGAGCAAATTCTTGAAGTCAGAACTGTGATCTTGAATTGAGACTAAATCCAGTTTAATAAAAATAAAAAAATCTGGTAGTCGTTTAATTGACTAAGCTGCTACTTAGCAATACAAGCTAACGTTTCTCTGTATGTTCTGCTTCCATGCACTGTAGCAAGATCTTTTAGAACTATGTTTATAGATTTTGTGAGATTGATGTCAGACGTGAAAAGAAAAAAAAAACAGCATGTTTTTAAAGCTAAGTTTATGTGTAGGGTAGCCATATTGACATTTTCAATTGGGTCCAATGTTAAAAAAAAAATAAAATAAATTCCCCGAGTTGGGACTTTTTGGGACATTGCTGTTATTTTTTTCTTTTAAGTTCTACTCTAAACATTTGAATCTAAAATATATTTTTAAGTCAGTTTAAAAAAAAAGAGAAAAAGAAAAAAACACCTTTAGCTGGAAAAAAAAAGGGAGGAAAAGTTCTGCACAGCTCTAAAATGTCTATCCCAGTAGAGGGTGAGGTGGTATTTACATATGTGGTGCTTGTTAGGAAGACTTCAACAGAAAGGGAGAGTCCCTCCAGCCAGGCCTGAGGAGGATAAGAAGATGTGAGAATCCTCACTGGTTGGTCTGTACAGCAGAAACAGGATGTCCAGGTCTGGCAGAACACTCCTAAATCTCAATCTGTCTTTGCTCATAAAAAAAACATTTTAAAAAAATGCTTCTTTACCCAGTGACTGCTACGCAAAATATTCCTCACACCCTCTACTCAGATTTTGTCATTACCCTAACTTTAATGCAAAAACATCAGCTTGCTAAAGTAATAGTCATTTTCTGTCAAATGTGATTTTTTGTTTTCTTTTTTACCTAAAACATGTTCTGGAAAGAAAATATGATAATTTGTTTTTTATTTACCAAAATCACAAAAAAGAAAAAGAAAAAAGGTTTGGGCCATTATTTCAGAAAGGTGATAAAAATGGAGATTTCAAAATGACAAAAAGGCAACTGATTGCACCGGATGTTAAGGGAGTCACATTTGAAGGAGCCGAGTACAAATGAAAACCAACACTTTATAGTTTAGTGGAGAAAAAATTAAAAAAAAGGGAACATGCATCATGTTTCTTCCACTTCGTAATTTTTGCACTACTTTTTGTTGGTTGCTGACATGACACACCGTTGTGATACATTACAGTGTGGAGTTTTTAAGAAAAGGAATAACATGCTTCTGTTTTTTACTTTCATCGAATGTCTTAAAATCGGATCACTCCGGCTTTGTTTGGGCGTTTTATTCAGCACCGTCTTAAAAATAAAACATTTAAATCATGTTTTCCTGCTGTGTTTGCTGTAGGTAACTCCAGGTCTGACAGTGTACATCTTGCCTTGATTCAACACCCAGAATATGCTTTTCTTTTCTCTTTTTCTTGACTGACAGGAGCTTCTCTGCCCTTGGCTTGGTCTCCAGCTTTCAGGATGGCAATGAAGAAGGCAGAGCTGGGCTTGTGCAGCGAGTTGAAGAGAAACTTTTGTTGAAATCAAAATTGTATGTTTTGACTTTCTGTTAAAGCCTCTATTATTCATGAACCAAAGAATCCCTGCAGCACTTTCTGCTGCAGCTGCTGTCATATCCACCTCGGATCCTGCAGAGTTTGTTGCATTTCGCCGGATTGTTCGGCGTGGTTCGCTTCGGGCGACTTTAGAGGAGAAGTAGTGACGTGAGATTAAAGATTGCATTTTATGACGGCTGCACTAAGACAATCTGATCATCTTTAAGTATTTTAAGTAAGGGCTTTGGAGTTTAAAATCCAACATTTTCAGATTTTTACAAGTGACGACGACATACTTTATACCGCCAAAGCTAAAATCCGGAATCGGTTTCTTTGCTGGATCCTGCAATGTGAACAAAACATAAACGTAACAATTGTTTTTCTATATTTAAAACTCACAAATCAATTAATTGGACGCTTCTACTTTAACAACCCTAAACATCTCCATCTGTGTTACCTTCTTCTTCCCACAGATTAGCATTCAGGTCCCCAGTGAGCCTCTCCATTATCCCGACGGGGAATGCTGTGCGAGATGTTTCTTTGACGATCCGAGAGGAGCTGTTGCCGTCTGCCGCGCGCAACAGTGAGGAGGGAAACACGTGGAGCCGTCAGCGTCCCATTAAACTGAGACGCCGATTCGCCTCAGTCTGGAGGGATGAGACGAGCCAATTTAACTGCGACACGCAGCGAGTTGAAAAGGTGGGAACGCTCCGGAAGACTTTCTGCAGTTATTAGGCTGCGTACTCCGTAGCCCAAGCTTAGGGTTTGTGTTAAATTTTTTTTTTGTTTGGGGGTATCTTTGTTTTTTTTTTTTTTTTTTTTTTTTTTTGTGCGGGTTTTGTTGGCATCTTCAAGCCACGACCTCCAGTGTGCACTGGAGTAACTTCTAGTTGAGCCTGAGGAGTTTGTGTTCTTCCCAGCTAGAGGCCATGGAAAAAAGAGAAGGTTCTTCTTGCAGCTTTTTATTTTTTATTTTTTTTTTTTACAAATTTCTTAAAGCTGACACTATGATGTCAGTTTTAAGGTAGATTGGCACAAGACAGATAAGCTCTGTCTTCTTCCTGTAGTTCTATTGCCATCTGCAGAAATACAACAATCCCAATCAGAGCTGGGAGGAGGGTGAATGTGGCTTCAATCAGCCTGTGTACACGCTGCAGCTGGGCTAATGGTGGAAAAACGCACTTATCATGACAGGAATTGTCATGGGAGACCATGCTAACTGGCCTGAGAATTAATGGCAGGCTGTAGCTAGCAGAGAGCAAGAGGGAAGGTGTGATTGACAGCGCTAAGACCCTCCTCCTGGCTCTGATTGGCTGTTTTATGACCTAGTGGTGTATTTCTGCAGATGGCACATATGAACCGATTGTTTTGCAGCCTACTTGCTTTTATCCTGATTCCAGGTACAACTGAGTTGTTAAATAGACACCCAGATATTTCCGGGTAAGTCTTCGCACACTACTACTTCTGTAAAAGTGTCACAAATATCACATCAGTGAAACAGATGAAGGCCGTGTTTAACCACCACCACCACCATCATTGGCTCGACTCTAATCGCGGCTTCGTGAGTTCCCGTGTCGTCCGTTTGCCCGTACAGCTCTGAGTTTGCCGCAGCCCTGCGCCGACGCTCTCCTCAAAATGTTTGTGTGTGTGTCGTTTCCGTCCGTTCCCCTGCGGCCGCACAACAAAGTGTTAGCGAGCCAGTGATGTCTAATAACCAGGCTGACAGACTGAGAAAGCAGCAGAAGCCAGCTGCTGTTCCACTTCCAGTAGTCAGCAGGGACTCACTCGTGCACACACACACACACACACACACACACGTAGAGAGAAATTACAGGAAGGGTCAGCTTTAAAAGGATAAAACCTCTGCGTTAAAAGACAGAACGCAGGTGGAGATTTAAACCGATGTTTAAAAGATCCTGCTAAGATGTGTGAGGGTGCCGGAAGGACGTAGTGATTCTGTAAAGACAGTCGTTTTTTTTTTTTTTTCTTCAAGATGTAAAAGTTGTTTTGTTTCTGATCATTTTACAAAGATCTCAAACCAACGGCCTCCAAAGTGCTTAAGGTCATACTGTTTTGTTTTATTAATACGACTTCTAAAGTCACACTAAAATGTTTTCCATTTGTTCATTTTGATCATCTGCAAGCTTAGCAACATAATTACTAACTTAACACACGACCACGGTGGCAGAATTACAAACTTCAGGGTATTTTGTGTGCGACAGAATAATGTCTCAGCACTTGTGTTCATTGCTAATTCAAGTTCTTATGCTTCCATTAAACTCCACCTCTTCTCATGCTTCATCAGTTAAACTCCCAAGCGGATGATCCGCTCCTGGTTCCCAGTGGGATCCTTCTTTGTCGACTTCATCCGCTCAAAACCCCTCCTAAGGATCCTTTTGGCGGGTCTCCCCAACGCTTCTCCAGCCTTCCTGGAATGACTTACCTCGGATCGTTCACCCGACTTCCTGTCCATCTTCTCTCCACGCTACTACGGTCACCATGTCAACCTCAGCTTCTGCAGATCTTCTCAGTTTCCTGGGCCTCTCCTGTCACGTTGTATTTCGGTACTGATCCAGTACTGATCCAGTACCAAGGTCCGTATCGCCGACTCCAACACTGATACCGATACTTCTTATTTTACTTTGGGTGTTTTTGTGGTTTTTCTTTTGAGTTATTTGGTTCAAACCCAGGACAGAATCTGGACGAAATTCACAACATATTAACATCATTTTTGAGCATTTTTCATTAATGAAGTGCAAAAACACAATTTGACAACAAAATCTTTTTTGAGATGGTTATGATCTGATACTGATACCAACCTGGTATTGATATTATTCAGCATCTTCTGTGTTAGAGGATGTAAAAGACTTTGAAGGGAGGGCAGAGTTTCACCTTCCAGCTGCACAACAAACATAAACACAAGAAAATGGTTTAGAGCTCAGCATATTTAGCTGTTAGAATGCCCTAGTCAAAGTACACCACTAAGTAGGACTTGAATCTGAGCATTCTTTTATCTTTTTTTTAAGTGTTAAAAAACTTTTCTTTTTTTTTTTTTCACTCGCAGTAATTTGTGTTGATCCTTTCTTTGGCACCAAAGTGTGAAAAAGTGAAACAAATGTCTCAGTCCTGAAACTGAAATTTTCTTCAGGATGCTCCACTCCTGCCAGATTTTCCTCTAAAAACCGAATCCGTTGTCTCAGCTGAACCTTTCCACCCGCACTCCGAGCTCATCATGCAATCAAGGATCTCTCTCCTAGCTGGAGTTTGGCAGCAGGTAGCGCACACACACACACACACACACACACACACACACGCAACGCAAACATGAAGCTGCAGGCGCATCAGCCCCCCTGCTGGCTTCACCTAACCTTCAGCGGGAATCCAACAAACTCGCATCGCAGCTGCAACTGGAAACAAGCAGCTCTCGAATCAAAGCATGTTTAAAACCAGCAGCAGCCACACAAGTGCAGGAATGAATCCAGAGGATGCGATACCTGCAGATGCGGCAGAGGTAACACGAGTCATTTATAGCGTACGAGACAGAAAAAAATAATAACAAAAATAATCGAGCTGCATCACCTCCTCCTGGCAACGTTCAGAAATCCCTTAACAGGCGCAGTGTTACCTTTGTTATTTTTTACGATGCACAAAAGCCGAGCAGCGATACGAGCGCCTGGGTGGCAATTTGAAGAAACAGACATCTGTAGCTCTGAAAAAAGAAAAAGGAAATTATTTGGAGTGATTCATTTGAGAAGATCATGGAAAGGAGGAAGCAACCAACCTGCTGTCGATCAGGAACAACGTTATGAGCGCTGAACTGTGATGCCCTGACAAATGGGTCAGAACATTCCCAAGACCTGCAGCTGGTGTGGAACTGTTTCAATTAAAAACAAAAAAAAGAGAGAGAGAGAGAAATTAACCAGACTTCCTTCTTAATATTTCTCCAGCTTTCTGCTTTACTGAGTTAGCTGTCCGAGTTGGACAAACTGTTGTCGTCTGACTTCTGAGCGAGAAGTCAGACGACACTGCTCCGCTTTGGGCCTGTAACCTCGCTGCCACTTTACTGCAGAACCGATTCAAAGATTTCAATCGATATCTTTAAAGCACTGGACAGCTTTCTATGCTTTCATCAACCTGAAACTTTGTTTGTGCCATACTTCAGTGTTTTTGCATTCCTGGCAGTTCTTAAATTTAGCTCCATTCATCTTCCTATCAGTTTCAACATGTTCTTCATTTAGCATTGATTGCACGTTAAGTACTGTGTTTAATAATCAGGCAGTTATTTTTCTCCACATCTGTGACTTTTGCAGGTAGACCAAAAAATTTTATGACTGCGAGCCGTCACACAATCATTATTTTGAATTTGTACATATTTAATACATTTACAAAAATGCCTAAACAAAATTCACTTTCTCACTATGAAGTAAGAAAATTGGGGGGCGGGGGGGGGGGAGGGCGGGTGGGAATACTTTTAGGTTGCATTGTATCGATTTATCGCATACAATCTCAATAAAATACATTGCAGTTGTTGAAATGTTACAGAATGTGAAGGAGTTGTGGCATAAATCCTCTTCGAATTTTTCGTAATACTTCATTCCGTGAAGACGCCGATTTTCCATTCTTCAAATGATCCTCTCAGCTTCCCCTCCCCGCTTGTCACACAGAAACCCAGAAACACACATCCTAAAAGTTTCATTTGAATCCACAAAACTGTTACAGCTGTCAGCCATTCGCACGGCGCTCACAGTCACGGGAGAAAACAGAAATATCAGTGGAACTGATCCGCTCACTGCGAAGGACAGACACCAGCTAACTGTGAGGAAACAGCGACCCCTGTTGACAGAGAACTGCTCCTCATCCAAACGCAATGCCGTGAGTTCGGCTGTGACGCCTTCAACGTCCTCCTCTGATGTCCCACTGATCCCAGATCACTTTCTTTTCGCTTCCCGTCTTAAAATCAGAAGCTGCCACGTTAAGGCCACTTTGACAGATTTGCGTCTTTGTCTTGATTCAAGAGGTTCAGACAGCTGAGCCATGGAGACGTCTGCCATGTTTCCAGACAGAAACATAAGTGGTTTGTTTTCCTGGAGTTTATTCAGACTGAACATTCCAGGCAGACTGTAAACTTTACCTCAGCACACACAGACTCCCGCCCTGCTGAACTGCTGAATATTTTAAAGGGTGTTTTTTTTTTTTTTTTTTTTTTTTTTTTTTTTTTTTTTTTTTTTTTTTTTTTTTTTTTTTTTTTTTTTTCTTTCCACACCTTGCGGTGTCGCCCCCACC